CAAAACAAAAAAAAGGAAAAGAAATTTCAAGGATTTCTGATGACCTGTTAGGTTGTGGATTTGATGAAAATAATTTTCTGGCTCATTTTCATTGTTTTTAATCAGAAATGAGTGAATTTTGTGTGGCAAATTTTATTCTTTTTCTTTTTTCCTCTCAACTTTTTCTCCCGAGTTCATCTTGGTATTTTGTAATTTCTATCACTTCATAACTTTTCATTATTCTCAAAGATTTTAAAAATGTAATGGTATTCAAAGTGTGCCATTTTTATATAAATTTTCATCAAAATGTAAGCTAAAGTCAATATCAAGGGTAAAAATGTATTTCCCTTATTTTAAATTACCTTTAATGTTGCAATAACTGTAGCTTCATGTGCAGTTGTGAGAAATAATAGAGGAAGACTCCCTGTGTCCTTTACCAGTTCCCCCAACGGTGCCTTCTTGCAGAGCAACAGGACAGTGTCACCAGTGGTACCGACATTCCGTCTCTCTGGCCCCGAGCCATCCTCTCTCAGTGGTCTCAGATTTGCATATATTCAGAATCCTGAAATACAGGGTGTTCCTGAAAGTTTGTTCGGCTGACTGGCTTGCTATCGAAATTTGTTTGTTTGCATATTGGTTTCCAGGTCAAAACTTCGTTGCGTGCTGGGAAGGTACTTTTCCCACTCAGAGTACAGTGCAACGTGGAAGTGCGTTGGCCCTGCTAGACCTTGCTCCGATTGTCTTAATGCTGTTGGAAGGGCTGTTTTTCCTCCTTTGATCAACCCTCAAAGACAGTCCAGCTGAGGTGGTTTTATGCGGTGGGGACGCCTTTCGGGACACTGAGGCAAGAGATGAACAACAAGTGAAATCAGCCTGCATTTGATCATCTGCCCTGTGCGGGAAGTCTGTGTGGGGTTGACGCGGGCGCTCCAGCACATGTCAGCGGTGCACCACAAGACTGTGGGAGCAGTGGCACGGGGGCGGGGGCCGCCCTCCCTGCCGCGTCCCAGCTGCGGGGCCTGAAGCAGACGAACCCGCCCCTGCTCCAGGGAGCAGCCACGTCTGTGGGCTTCGAAGCGAAGTTGTGTAGAAAGGCTCCTCGTGCAGCTGCTTCCGCGCGATGAGTTTTCCAAGTGAACCCGTCCCGGCTCCCGGCAGTCCCCGTGTCTCCTTCGAGGCCCTTGTAAGCCATTCCTTTAAAAAAATCTGTTCTATCAAATTCTGGTGTTTGGCCAGATAAAAATTTTAACTTGTATTCGTTTTTCTGAGTGGGCTCTGCAATTCCCGTGGCGCCACATGTGAAGAGGGCAGTGACACGTCTGCTCCCCCCCGCCCCATCACCCGCCGTCTGGCACGCGGGTATCCCAGAGACGCCCAGTGTGTTCGGGGATGGGTGCCGCTTCTTGTCCCTGCTGCGTGTGGGACGGGGGGGCCGGTCACCCCCATGTGCGCAGTGCTCCGGCCGTGGTCCACCCCACTCCCCCTTGTGCGTGCAGTTTCTGTCTCTCTGGGCCCAAGCCATCGCCTCTCAGGAGTGACATAACCATCCACGACCTCATTCAAAGTCCCCTCAGCGTCTGGGGTTGTAATTTCCCAGGGCCGGGGGATTTAAGCTCATTTGGTGGTTTTCTTGGATTTGAGAATCCTCTCACTAAAGTCTGACCTGCCCTCTGCAGGGCAAACCATTTTGGGGTGTCCTTGTTTTTTCTCTTTAATTTTTATTTATTATTATTATTATTTTTAATTGAAATATGGTCAGTTACAGTGTGTCAGTCTCCGGTGTACAGCACAGTGTCCCAGTCATGCACACACATATTCGTTTTCATATTCTGTTTCATTAAAGGTTATTACAAGACATTGAGTGTCATTCCCTGTGCTACACTTGGGGTGTACCTGTGAGAGGGGACAGGACAGGTGTGGGGTCTAGAGCAGTGGGCGGGGTGGGCTGGGGGCTTTGCCCTTAACCATTTCCAGCAGATCTCGTCTCCTTTTCAGGGTCAGCTTTTCAGACTTTTTCTTCCAGAGTTCTGCCCACGTCACAGCCCCCTCACCCCCCGACTCTGTGTCCTGTTCTTCAGCCGTGGACACACCCTCACAGTCACACTGGTTGTTTGGGAAGCTCCCCCTGTTTTTCTCCCGTCGGCATCATTGTTACTCATTGTTGGGGGTGCTCAGAATCTCCCCTTTGGAGAAGCATCATGTGTCTCCCTGCCTGTAAGATGAGGTTAATCACACCCCACCTCGGGCAGTTTCGTGGATGAAATGAAACGGCCTCTGGGAGGATCTGAGGGCAGAGGGTGAAATGTAGCTGCGTTTGTAACATGTGCTTTCCCTCAAACCCTCCCCCTTAACGGAACCCCTGGGCTGGGAACTACTGCAGTTCAATAAAACCTCCCTGCCTTGGCCTCCAGGGCGCCTTGCCTGGAAGACAAGGTGTTTTTTTTTTCTCCCAAAGTTATCACTGAGTGCACTTGGTCAACAAGTCCTTTTTCAGTCAAAACAAGTCATTTTTAGTCAAATGAGGGCCAGGTTTTGACTTGACATCCAGAGGAATGTTCTAACAGCCAGAGAAGTTCAGGGACACCGCCCCAGTAAATGAGGAATCCTGGTTACCGCTGGGGAGGTGTTACTCTGTGCCGCGCTCCTCGGTGGAGAGGTTTGGAAGTGACAGGATCAGATCTTCGTGAACATCCTTCCCCAGCCGGAAGGGGTTGCCTTTACGCTCAAACACATTTTCCTAGTTGTCTTCCCTCGTAGGAGACAGTCTTCCAGGTACGCGGACTAGAATGTCCCTGATGACTCCCAGACCTGCGTCTCTGCCCCACTTTGCACTGCCTTCCAGAAGCACGCCCCCAGCTGCTGACAGCGTCTCACGGATGTTCTACGTGTGTGTCCATCCGTTTGCTCCTTCAACAAATGCTTAGTGTCCACCGAGTTCCAGGTATCTTCCTAGGTGCCAAGGATGCAGCGTTGAACGAGCCAAGGGAAGCCCGGCCCTCCGGGGTCTTGCGCTGCGTTCTAGTGGGACTGATGGGGAGGACGCTCACCGCCCTGCTGCCCTGGCTCCCCTGCTTCCTCTAGGTCCGACTCCTCAGGACTGCGGCAGGCTCCCTCGCCCAGATCAGCCTTGCTGTTACCTGCCAGCCTCCTTCTCCTCAGTGTGTGATGCTCTCTGTCGCGATGTCTCGTTTCCTCTGGGCTCCCCTGACCCCACCCTGCACAGCGTCTCTCATCTAAAGCACCAACGCTTCCCGGCTGGAGCTGGGCTGTCCTTAACGCTTGCTTCACACTCCTGCCCTGAGTGACGGGGACCAGTTTGGGTCAACTGGTCAACGAAGTTGGTTAAATCAGGGAATCCTAAAAGCAAAACGTACACTCTAAACGTTTTATTTTCACCCACAATGTCCAAGTGCTCCCGCCCGCCACCGTCCACTGCAGAGCCAGGGCGTTTTCTTGGAGTGTGTTAGCATCTCCGCACACCTGGACCTCGCCTCCCGGACTTGCAGTTCTAGTCTCTAGACAGGAGCGAGGGCTTGGGTGCTCCGGAAGAAGAAGATGCCTGCGGGGTCCTCTCTCGGGTTTGTAAACGGACCCCTCATCTCGTGTAGCTGCTTCTGGCATTTTTAAACAGCTCCCTTCATCAAGCCTTTTCAAAGCATTCAGAGTGGCTTTTGAGGAAAGCGTCTCTCTTTGCACTCATATGGCATTGGTTCCCATGATAATTCAGCTATGTAAATAAAATCACTAGTTCGAGCATATTCCATATTTGGGGTTGTGACAAACACACAGGCCTCTTGGTACAGGAACGCCCCACGTAGAGGGAGCAGAGGCGCCGAGAGGGCTCATCCCACCCAGGATACTGGTCAGTGCGTCTTATTCACATGGTGACTCGATACCTGTAAAGTGTCAGGCAGCAGGTACATGAGACAGTGCGGTTTGTGCCAGCAGAGTAGCCATCCTGAACTGCAGGTTTCATCAGCCACCCGTCTGCTCAGACACTTCAGGTGCAGCCCTGCTGGGCCGCAAGAGGGACTGGGGCAAACCTCTTCCTCCATCCAGCGTGACCCCTGCAGCCCCATCTCCACCCTGTTGGTGCCCTGAGCTCCAGTCCCAGGCGCAGGGACACACGCAGGACATTCTCACCATCAAGCCTTTGTTCCCCTGGATGAACACAGGCACAGCCCAGCTGCTGGGGGCCGCATCTGGGGACACACATGTCCTGCCAGGCACCTGCTCCTCCAGCCACAGAGGGACCAGCTCCAGCCTGTAGGCAGCATCTCCTCCTTGAAGTCTTTCTCGATCTCACGACAGGATGTGCTTTTCCCCCTTTCAAATGCATGCTGCCTTTGTATTCCCGTCAGGGCCTCACGGGTCCCGGCCTGCGCTGTCCCTCCTTCCTGCCCAGTCATTGTCTGTGGCTTTGCATGGAGCCGGGTGTGGGAGCTGCCATCAGCGTGTTCCGGAAGCAAGTCCATCTATCTCTCTCCCCCTTTATCTCATCTTCAAAGCCTATGTCTTCCCAGCCTATCTTCTCAGCAGCGAGGCATCCCCCCAGGATTCAGTCACGCTAATTGATTCAGAATGAAGACGGGGCTCTTTTTAGTTCAGAAATAATTCATAGTCTTGAAGGCTCATCCATTTATCTCCCTTGATTTAAAAAAAACCCAGTCTTATTGAAGTATAATTTACATATCATCACATTCACCCGTTTGAACCGTGCAAGCCGCTGGTGTTTAGTAAGCGTACAGCCGTCCACCGTGATGGAGCTTCAGAAGACTTTCAGAAAGGTCCCTCGTGCCGATTCCAGTCAATTCCGGTGCCCCCGCCCCACCCCGGGCTCCAGGCAACCACGACAGAGCCTCCCTCGACTTTTCCTGCCACCTTTTCATCACTGGAGAGGTTTTTAGACCAATAGACATGCTGTTTGCCTGGGGAACTTTTCTTCTGGTCCAGTTACTGAACTTTGTTCATTTGCCTCCCTTTGACTTTCTCCCTGCGTTTAAGTTTCTCTTGGTTTTCTTCGTGTGACTCTTGTCTCTGCTAAGCAGGTTGGCCTTCAACTTGTTAAGAGAGTCAAGGCTTCCCCACTCCTTTAGAGTATGGAAAACGTGAAGAGCGTCATGTACAAAACAGGTCCCTAGCCCCTCCGAGGCGTGGAAAATCTGATCTCCTGTTATATTCAGTATAGGGCACAAAATGCCACGTTAGTGTTTTTGGTAACATACAGTTTGTGGTAAGAAAAATGACATTGTTTTTTTGAAGATGATCAGCGCTTGATAGCTTTAAAAATCCTTATCATGTAGAAAAGTACAAAGAACGTGAAAGCATGACCCAGACAGAACCCAGCTCTCAGAAGCAACCAGCAGTAAACGAGGGTGGTCTTCTTTCCTAACACCCCTCTCAGCAGAGATACAGCGAGAAGGACGTCGCTGCTAGGCCTGCCAGGCCGGGCGGCAGCTCTGGGTCCAGGGCCCCCGGCCAGACCCGGGCATCCTCAAGGGCAGGCCCTTGGCAGGGCAGCATCCGACCACACCGGGCACAGAAGCAAAAGACACCTGCGGCGCTGGCTGGGTGGCAGGCTTGGCCTGTCTGCAGTGGGGATGAAGGTCGAGTTATAGTAATAAATGATCAGAGCTAGAAAGATACCTTTTCATACTGTTAACTCGACCCCATTTGTGCTCCTGGACTCGGCAGCCTAGGGAACCTTACGTGCCACCAAGACGCCGGTAAATGTTCAGCCTTGGCTTGTCTTTCACATATGATGTGAACTTCAGAATCCTGAGGCCAGTCATGAGTTTTTATTATTTACACGAAGCTCCGTGGGCAGTGGTGGGTGGGTAACAGAGCTCTGAGGCTAGGGGGAGGGGAGCGTGACACGGGCACTCAATGAGTCTGGCGGAGACGGGGACGGACAGTGGGAATTTTGTTGGATGGGGTTTGCCTTGCTGATGATCTCATCTTCTTTCACTTAGATTGTAGCGATGTTACTTATATTTAAGTTGAGCCCTGTTGAAGATTTTTTTAATTAAAAAATGTGTTTTCTGTAACCCAGGAAGGGTTTTCAAGATTTTCTCTCGGAGTTTACAATTACTTATTACAAGAAACTTTGCTTTTCTGAATCCTGAATCCTGAATTAGTGGCTTCACTTTGAAGATTCTGGGCTCGGCTTCTCTCTGAGGCAAAGAGGTAGAAAAAGAAAGAGTAAGTCCTTTGGAGGCAACGGGCCTGACTTAAACCCCTGCTCCTTCCTTTTCACCTGTAGGTCCTTGGCAGGCTAGCTAGTCTCTTTAACCTGAATCCCTGACTTGAGAAAAAGAGCCATGAGGTCAGACCCTGTCTGACTCAGCGGGACTTCCACATGCCGGAAGCGTACCATGCAGTATTAACAAAACAAAAGGTGGGTAACTCAGAGGTGGTCTAATCTGGGGACACAGTGATGTCGTGGAGGAGCCAGTTCTTTCCGTCTTTCTGGTCTACCCTTTGCATCGTGTGGACAGAGCCCTCTGGCCAGCTCCCCTCCCTGTCTGAGTGGAGTTGGCTGCTGTAATTCTGCTGAGCGCGAGCAGAGGACAAAGTCCAGTGGAGGAAAAGGGCATCTCTTCCAGTGTGTCCCCTTCAGGGCAAGAAAGCTTTCCCCAGCCCTCCCACCAGGCCTCCCCCAGCCACCAGCAAGGAAAATGGAGTCGCTGTGATTGGCTTAGACTATGTCACTAAGAGTCACTCCTGAGCTAAGAACAGTTTGACCTTCCATCAATGTCCTGTCTCACGTCCATGGAGCTCTTCAGCAAGAAAGGAGGAGGGAACAGCTGACAGACAGGTAGTCCCCAGTGACTGTTAGACCTGTGTTGGGGTGTTACTTTAAGTCTGAGGTCATTATTTGAATCCCGATTGTCTTTAAAGGAACAGACTTTATTTTTTTCATTTTTCATTTTTATTAGGTAAAATTGATACAATTTGACTGTACATATACAATATGTTACATGGAAATATATATATAATATACTGAACATTTTTTACATATATTACTGTTCATTGTTTTTAAGAACAGTTTAGAGCTTTAGTTTTTTAAACTTACATAGTTATCAAAGGAATAAAGCCAACCACAAAATAAGAATCAATAGAATGCAGTAATCCAGTCATAAAGGACAATCAGATGTGCTCACACATATTCAAGAAATCAATCATCTAAGTTGTAAGTAGTTCATTTGTGTCCTTTTTTTTTTTTCAGATTCCACATTTGAGTGATATATGGTGTTTTTCTTTCTCTTTCTGGCCTACTTCATTTAGAATGACGATCTCCAGGTCCATCCAGGTTGCTGCAAATGGCACTATTTTATCATTTTTTATGGCTGAGTAGTGTTCCATTGTGTAAATATACCACAGCTTCTTTATCCAGTCATCTGTCGATGGACATTTAGTTTCCATGTCTTCGCTGTTGTAAATAGTGCTGCCATGAACACTGGTATGCATGCATTTTTCTGAATTAAGTTTCCCTCTGGGTATATGCCCAGGAGTGGGATTGCTGGATCATATGGTAAATCTATTTTTAGTTTTTTGAGGAATCTCAGTACTGTTTTCCACAGTGGCTGCACCAAACTACATTCCCACCAACAGTGTAGGAAGGTTCCCTTTTCTCCACAGCCTCTCCAGCCGTTTACCTTTCATGGACTTTTGAATGATGGCCATTCTGACTGGTGTGAAGTGATACCTCACTGCGGTTTTGATTTGCATTTCTCTGATAATTAGTGATATTGAGCATTTTTTCACGTGCCTGTTGCCCATTCATGTCTTCCTTGGAGAATTGCTTGTTTAGGTCTTCTGCCCATTTTTGGATTGGGTTATTTGTTTTTTTCTTATTAAGTTGTATGAGCTGTTTATATATTCTGGAGATTAAGCCCTTGTCAGTCTCATCTTTTGCAAGTATTTTCTCCCATTCTGTAGGTTGTCTTTTTGTTTTGCTTATGGTTTCCTTTGCTGTGCAAGAGCTTATAAGTTTAATTAGGTCCCATTTGTTTATTTATTTTTTAATAAGTGTTAAGAATTAATATCTTGGTAGTGAGATGTTTATGTACATTTGTAATTATTTCTTTTGAATAAATTCCTAGAAGAAGAATTGCTAAGTTTAAGGATATGCACATTTTTTTTCTTGTTATGTTTTCTGATCATGAAAGTAAAACATGTTTATTGTTAAGGCATTAGCAATACTTGCTATAGAAAAAGCAACTCCTGTATAACTCTGTTTTTTGGAATTACTTGGTTATTTGTTATTTGGTTATTTGTAGTAATTTGCTACATACATGTCCAATTTCACTTTTACACATATTAATATGTACAATATAAGAAAGCATTAAAAATATTGCCATGTAGATATTATTTTATTGTATAAATGCCTAAATGTAAGGAGGTTCTTATATTCAATGAAGATTCCTAAAAACCCTTGTTTTGGTCTTCCTTAAATATCCATTTCAAATATAAATGAAATAGAAAATACATAATTTTAAAATTAATTTTTGTAAATTGAAGTCTAGCCAGTTTACAACGTGTCAATTGCTGGTGTACAACATAATGTTCCAGTCATACATAGATATCGATATGCATATATTGGTTTTCATATTCTTTTTCATTATAGGTTACTATAAGATACTGAATATACTTCCCTGTGCTAGAAAATACATAATTTAAATGTCTAATTTATCAATTTAGTTACACCCTTACCTTTGAAATCACACCTTAGATAAATATAATCATTTAGAATTACATCGTTGCTCTTTTAAACAAGCGTCATAGGCACCTAGGACCACCCTAGAGCATTTTTGAGGTCATTTAGCACGGGTTGTGGAACTTAGCGCGCCACCTCCCTGGGGCTCCGGATGATCACTCTGAGTCCCTTGGAAATTCCGTCCTATTCACGTAACCTTGGGTGGGTGGCTGTCATTTACCCCGAGTTGTGATTCCCACAACCTGTTCTGAGGCTCTCTTTAAAAGCTGTGTTTTCAGTGAGGGCGAATGCTGCGCATCGTGAGGTCACGCCCTCAGGAATGATCACAAGGAGTGTGTTCAGTTTCTCTATCTCCTTTCAAAACCGCGTGACCACGTTAAAACTAGCATTGGTCCAGGCTGTTTCAGGAAGTCTTCCATAAATAGTATTTAACGCTGATTGGATCCTGGTGGTTTTTGAAAAAAAGAAAGAAAACGAAGAACTTTGGAGACAGGGAAATTTTAGTACAGACTGTATACTGTATCATATTTTGAACATATGATTTTCCGTGGGTGTGATAAGGCTGCTGCAGGAGAGTGCTGCCGGGGGTCATGCTGGAAGTACTTGGAGGTGAAGCGTCATGGTGTCGGCATCGTGCTCTCAAAGGAATCGATGGGACGGAAAACGGAGAGGGGTGGAGAGAAGTAAAGGAGATAAAATGTATCATTGGTAAATGCAGGTGAACAGAGGTGCAGTTGTGGTGTTCTCCCCACACTTTTCCATGAATTTGAAAATGTTCAAAATGAAAAGATGAACAATAAAGAAGGCGTTCCCCCTTCAGCATTATAAAAAATATTCATCCATGTTTATTTCTGGGACTTCTATCTTTGCGTATTTTACACTTTAATTTATATTTTTGACATAAAGAGTGAGATACAGCCCGCATTCCACTTGAAGTGCTACTTCATGTTAAATTCTTTTAAATCTGTTTTTTGGGGAATTTCCGTTCTGTTGTAACCACGCTGTTTTTCTGATGTAATGTTATGGCATGTTTTTATTTCTAATAAGACAAATCTCTCTTCTTCATTCTCTCTCTTCCAGATTTTCTTAGATTTTCCCATGCTTTTATTCCTCCAGGTGAACTTTGGAATTAAATGCATGACATTCATGATTCATTTGAATTTTGTTAAAATTAAACATTAATTATTT